ATCCCGCCGAGTCCTCACAGGGCAGAGGGGTGAGGGAGCTCTCGGGGTTCCCTTAGAGAAAGGGTGCTCATCGCCTTCATGAGGCCCCACCTCCCGACGCCATCGACCTGGGGAGAGGATTTCAACACGTGAATCTTGGGGGCATTCAGGCCATCGCACCCTTGATTAGGATCAGCGTGTCCCTCTGTCTGCTTTCCTGGTGTGTTGTACGCTTGTGACCTGTAAATTATCACCGAGTTGGACTTCCCGGTGTGTGTCCGTGCAGGGATTCTGCCTCCGCTGTCTGGCGATCACCGGCCTCTGACTTCCTGGGTCCCTGACGGTGCGCAGCCCGTGCCGCCTCGGACGCCCTCCTTTTATCTCGGGGGGAGCCCGTGTCCTTCTTCCTTCAGCGTTTCCTGGCGCTCACGGGACCCGCCTGGGGGGGCTGCCGTTTTCTTGCTGGGAAGGTTTTAAATTGTGGACTCAGTTTCTTGCACAAACAGCCCTTTCAGATTTTCCGACGTGGTTTCCCCTTTGGCTCCAGGTGCTAGTCCAGAGGGATCCCCGCGCGTCCACTGACTCGCTGATGTTTGCAGGATCCGTGGTTACAGCCGACGTGGCTGAGTTCTGTTTTCTTCCTTACTGTTTTGAGACGGAGTCTCGCTGTGTCGCCCAGGCTGGAGTTCACCGCAGCGACCGCCCGCTGGCATCAAGTGATTCTCGTGCCTCAGCTCCCGGGCCGCTGGCATTCCAGCCGTGCACTGCAACACCCAGCTGGGTGTCGTGTTTTCAGCAGAGATGGGGTCTCGCCATGTTGGCCAGGCTGGTCTGGAACTCCGGGCCTCACGTGACCCACCTGCCTCGGCCCCCCCAAAGTGCTGGGATGACAGGCTTGAGTCCCCGCGCCCGGCCGGGGTTGAGTTTTAAGCAGTGTTTCCCGTATCGTGGTGATGCTCCCAGCCGACCGTTACTTTCCCTTCCGTCTCTGCCACGTGTCTGCGACCTTGCGTGGCAAGTGTGGGGCACAGATTTTAAACTTTCCTTCCTCACACCTGTCTTTGCGGCTGAGGACCTGCCGTGGTCACTGCTGCGGGTGTGTGCACACATTCCATGGGACGTGTCCATCGCTGTCACATTCCACGCAGTGTCCAGGCGACGTGGCCATTTACACTGGTTCTTCGGAGGTGCCGCTGGGTTTCCACACGCTGGGGATGCAGCCGCCCCGGTCCCAGTGCCCATGCACGGCCCCCGGTAAGGGGGTACTGTGTGCCAGCACTCCCGTGCTCAGTTCTCATCACTGAGCTCAAAGGCTGGAGCAAAACCCGCGCTGAGTGTGCAGACAGCAGGCGCGCCCCGCCGGGCGTCCTCGCTCCCGCAGCGGCGGTCTCTGGGCAGCGTGGCTCAGGCGTGAGGTGGGCGCAGGAGGCAGCTGTCCGGGCCCCGCTGAATGCCCACCCTCCCTCTCTCTGCCTCAGGCCTGCGGCTGCCCCCTCTACTGGAAGGGGCCGCTCTTTTATGGCGCCGGCGGGGAGCGCACGGGCTCCGTGTCCGTCCACAAGTTCGTCGCCATGTGGAGAAAGTGAGTCCGGGGCCGGGCAGGGGCCGTGTTGGGAGGGCGGAGGCGGCCCTGAGTCCACATGGCACCAGGACCGGAGCCCCCGGGGCTGCCACAGCGAGAGGGGAACCCGCACCTGGGCACAGGCCCGGCCGTCGTGTGTGTGGCCACCTGCCCTGCCGTCCAGCCTGCGTCTGTGAGGGGGGCGCCCAGTCATCCTGTCCTTCCAGAATCCTCCACAACTGCCACGATGATGCCGCCAAGTTCGTCCACCTGCTCATGAGCCCCGGCTGCAACTATCTGGTGCAGGAGGACTTCGTCCCCTTCTTGCAGGTGAGAGGCCATGTCTACACTACACACCTTATCTGGGTCTACACCGCACACCTCATCCCTCACGGGAGGGCTCGTGTCTACACCGCACATCTCATCTCCCACGGGAGAGCTCGTGTCTACACTGCACACCTCATCTGGGTCTACACCGCACACCTCATCTCCCACGGGAGGGCCCGAGTCTACACCACACACCTCATCTCTCACAGGAGGGCCAAATCTCCACCTCACACCCCATCTGAGTCTACACCGCACACCTCATCCGCCTCCACACCGCACCCCTCATCCCTCACAGGAGGGCTCGTGTCTACACCGCACACCTCATCCCTCACGGGAGGGCTCGTGTCCACACCTCACCCCTCATCCCTCACGGGAGGGCTCGTGTCCACACCTCACCCCTCATCCCTCACGGGAGGGCTCGTGTCCACACCGCACCCCTCATCCCTCACGGGAGGGCTCGTGTCCACACCGCACCCCTCATCCCCGCTCACGAGAGGCCAGCGTCCACACCGCGCCTCGTGTCTTCCTGCCGTTAGGACGTGGTGAACACGCACCCCGGGCTGTCGTTCCTGAAGGAGGCGTCCGAGTTCCACTCGCGCTACATCACCACGGTGAGCACCTGCTGCTTCCCCCCTGCCGCGGGTGGGGAGCTTCCCCCGAGGGAGGCGGTTCCGGGCTGGGGCACGGTGGGGAGGGCGTGTTTCTGGAGTTGCCGCCGTGGATGGGGAGCTCTGAGCTGCAGGAGGAAGCGGCAGGTACCTGGCAGGGTGTCTCCGCCGTGCCTGGGACTCAGGGATGGGCGCGCGGGGCTGGAGCCCCCACCCTGCCCGACTCCGCCCCAGTTCCCCAGGCGCCCCCACCCCTGGCGCACAGCCCCTCCCTCCCAGTGGCCGGCACCCCTCCCCACCCACACACGTGCAGGAGGACTTTGTCCTGGGCCCACAGCTGCGGCTGCTCTGGGCGCGTCTCCATCCTCGGGATGGGGCCCCACATCCCAGAACCAGAGCGCAGCGCAGCCACCGCCGCCGTCTCAGCGCGGCCCAGGCCCCCGGCACACGCAGCTCACACCGCCCCGACCCCACTCCCCACCGCGGGAGACTGAGGACATCCCCGGATTACAGACGCTGCAGCAGTGCCGCCCTCGGGGTGACCCTGGCAGCCGCAGGCCGCTGCGTGTCACAATCGCCGGCACGCCTGAGTACCGGGCGGGTCTGAAGCCGCTGGAGGCCACGGCAGCCTCACACCTGTTTCCGGACACACATGGCAGGGCACCCACAAAAACGGGGGCTGTCCCCACTGCTTCGTGGGTACTCAGGGAGGTGGGCGGGGGCAGCAGGCTGTTCTCTGGGAGGAGTCAGGTAGGAGAACTCAGGTGGGTGGGGCACCCATCTGCTCCGTGGGATACTCAGTGAGGTGGGAGGACTCAGTGCAGTGGGTGGGGCACACATCTGCTCCGTGGGATACTCAGTGAGGTGGGAGGACTCAGTGCAGTGGGTGGGGCACACATCTGCTCCGTGGGATATTAAGTGAGGTGGGAGGACTCAGTGCAGTGGGTGGGGCACACATCTGCTCCGTGGGATACTCAGTGAGGTGGGAGGACTCAGTGCAGTGGGTGGGACACACATCTGCTCCGTGGGGGACTCAGTGAGGTGGGAGGACTCAGTGCAGTGGGTGGCATACACATCTGCTCCGTGGGATACTCAGTGAGGTGGGAGGACTCAGCGCAGTGGGTGGGACACACATCTGCTCCGTGGGGGACTCAGTGAGGTGGGAGGACTCAGTGCAGTGGGTGGGACACACATCTGCTCCATGCGGGACTCAGTGAGGTGGGAGGACTCAGTGCAGTGGGTGGCACACACATCTGCTCCGTGGGATACTCAGTGAGGTGGGAGGACTCAGTGCAGTGAGTGAGGCACACATCTGCTCCGTGGGATACTCAGTGAGGTAGGAGGACTCAGTGCAGTGGGTGAGGCACACATCTGCTCCATGCGGGACTCAGTGAGGTGGGAGGACTCAGTGCAGTGGGTGGGGCACACATCTGCTCCATGCGGGACTCAGTGAGGTGGGAGGACTCAGTGCAGTGGGTGGGGCACACATCTGCTCCATGCGGGACTCAGTGAGGTGGGAGGACTCAGTGCAGTGGGTGAGGCACACATCTGCTCCATGCGGGACTCAGTGAGGTGGGAGGACTCACTGCGGTGGGTGAGGCACACATCTGCTCCATGCGGGACTCAGTGAGGTGGGAGGACTCAGTGCAGTGGGTGAGGCACACATCTGCTCCATGCGGGACTCAGTGAGGTGGGCAGGAGCACACAGCTGCTCTCTGGGAGGACTCAGTGAGGTGGGAGGACTCAGTGCAGTGGGTGGGACACACATCTGCTCCATGCGGGACTCAGTGAGGTGGGCGGGAGCACACAGCTGCTCTCTGGGAGGACTCAGTGAGGTGGGCAGGGGCACACGGCCGCTCTCTGGGAGGACTCTGAGGTGTGTGGGAGCACACGTCTGTTGTGTGGGCGGATTCTGATGTGAGAGCACAGATCTCTGTGAGAATTCAGGTGAGTGGGAGCACATGTAGCTCTGTGGGAGGACTTGGGTGGGAGCACGTCTGCCCTGTGAGAGGACTCACTGAGATAGGAGCACACGTATGCTGTGTGGGAGTATTCAGGTGGGTGGGAGCACATGTCTGCTTTGTGGGAGGACTCTAAGGTGGGAACACACATCTGCTGTGTGGGAGGACTCTGGTGGGTGGGAGCACACGTCTGCTGTGTGGGAGGACTCTGAGATGGGTGGGAGCACGTCTGCTGTGTGGGAGGACTCTGAGGTGGGTGGGAGCATATGTCTGCTGTGTGGGAGGACTCTGAGGTGGGTGGGAGCACACGTCTCCTGTGTGGTGCGACTCTGAGGTGGGTGGGAGCACACGTCTCCAGTGTGGTGTGACTCTGAGGTGGGTGGGAGCACACGTCTGCTGTGTGGGAGGACTCTGAGGTGGGTGGGAGCACACGTCTCCTGTGTGGTGCGACTCTGAGGTGGGTGGGAGCACATGTCTGCTGTGTGGGAGGACTCTGAGGTGGGTGGGAGCACATGTCTGCTGTGTGGGAGGACTCTGAGGTGGGTGGGAGCACACGTCTCCTGTGTGGTGCGACTCTGAGATGGGTGGGAGCAGACGTCTGCTGTGTGGGAGGACTCTGAGGTGGGTGGGAGCACACGTCTGCTGTGTGGGAGGACTCTGAGGTGGGTGGGAGTACATGTCTGCTGTGTGGGAGGACTCTGAGATGGGTGGGAGCACATGTCTGCTGTGTGGGAGGACTCTGAGGTGGGTGGGAGCACACGTCTGCTGTGTGGGAGGACTCTGAGGTGGGTGGGAGTACATGTCTGCTGTGTGGGAGGACTCTGAGATGGGTGGGAGCACATGTCTGCTGTGTGGGAGGACTCTGAGGTGGGTGGGAGCACATGTCTGCTGTGTGGGAGGACTCAGGTGGGTGGGAGCACACGTCTCCAGTGTGGTGTGACTCTGAGGTGGGTGGGAGCACATGTCTGCTGTGTGGGAGGACTCAGGTGGGTGGGAGCACATGTCTGCTGTGTGGTGTGACTCTGAGGTGGGTGGGAGCACACGTCTGCTGTGTGGGAGGACTCAGGTGGGTGGGAGCACACGTCTCCAGTGTGGTGTGACTCTGAGGTGGGTGGGAGCACACGTCTCCTGTGTGGTGCGACTCTGAGGTGGGTGGGAGCACATGTCTGCTGTGTGGGAGGACTCAGGTGGGTGGGAGCAGACGTCTCCAGTGTGGTGTGACTCTGAGGTGGGTGGGAGCACATGTCTGCTGTGTGGGAGGACTCAGGTGGGTGGGAGCACACGCCTCCTGTGTGGTGCGACTCTTAGGTGGGTGGGAGCACATGTCTGCTGTGTGGGAGGACTCAGGTGGGTGGGAGCAGACGTCTCCAGTGTGGTGTGACTCTGAGGTGGGTGGGAGCACATGTCTGCTGTGTGGGAGGACTCAGGTGGGTGGGAGCACACGTCTCCTGTGTGGTGCGACTCTGAGGTGGGTGGGAGCACATGTCTGCTGTGTGGGAGGACTCAGGTGGGTGGGAGCAGACGTCTCCAGTGTGGTGTGACTCTGAGGTGGGTGGGAGCACATGTCTGCTGTGTGGGAGGACTCAGGTGGGTGGGAGCACACGCCTCCTGTGTGGTGCGACTCTGAGGTGGGTGGGAGCACATGTCTGCTGTGTGGGAGGACTCAGGTGGGTGGGAGCAGACGTCTCCAGTGTGGTGTGACTCTGAGGTGGGTGGGAGCACATGTCTGCTGTGTGGGAGGACTCAGGTGGGTGGGAGCACACGTCTCCTGTGTGGTGCGACTCTGAGGTGGGTGGGAGCACATGTCTGCTGTGTGGGAGGACTCAGGTGGGTGGGAGCACACGTCTCCAGTGTGGTGTGACTCTGAGGTGGGTGGGAGCACATGTCTGCTGTGTGGGAGGACTCTGAGGTGGGTGGGAGCACATGTCTGCTGTGTGGGAGGACTCAGGTGGGTGGGAGCACACGTCTCCTGTGTGGGAGGACTCTGAGGTAGGTGGGAGCACATGTCTGCTGTGTGGGAGGACTCTGAGGTGGGTGGGAGCACATGTCTGCTGTGGGAGGACTCAGGTGGGTGGGAGCACACGTCTCCAGTGTGGTGTGACTCTGAGGTGGGTGGGAGCACATGTCTGCTGTGTGGGAGGACTCAGGTGGGTGGGAGCACATGTCTGCTGTGTGGGAGGACTCTGAGGTGGGTGGGAGCACATGTCTGCTGTGTGGGAGGACTCTGAGGTGGGTGGGAGCACACGTCTCCTGTGTGGTGCGACTCTGAGGTGGGTGGGAGCACATGTCTGCTGTGTGGGAGGACTCAGGTGGGGAAGCGCACACATCCTAAACGCAGCCTGTGACTTTCAGCAGTGGTGTTTGTGGGTCCGTGCCTCCTCTTTCCCGCACGTCTGTCTCAGTCATTCTGGCTACACAGTAGACGTGATAGGTTGTGGTTCCTCTGCTGAGACTTCAGATAACCTGGAGCTGTCAGGGGTTCGACAGGCTCAGGAGGCCTCACGCAGGGAGTGGGATGACCTCCTGGATGGGAGGCAGGAGGCCTTGCTCGTCCCGGGATGCAGCCCCACGTGTGGTCAGCGCACGGTTCGCTCAGCGAGGAGCCGCCCTGGGTGCCCCACGTGGTGCCTCCCCACAGTCAAAGACAGGGTTTCGGCCGGGCGCGGTGGCTCACGCCTGTAATCCCAGCACTTTGGGAGGCCGAGGCGGGTGGATCACGAGGTCAAGAGATCGAGACCATCCCGGTCAACATGGTGAAACCCCGTCTCTACTAAAAATACAAAAAATTAGCTGGGCACGGTGGCGCGTGCCTGTAATCCCAGCTACTGGGGAGGTTGAGGCAGGAGAATTGCCTGAACTCAGGAGGCGGAGGTTGCGGTGAGCCGAGATCGCGCCATTGCACTCCAGCCTGGGTGACAAGAGTGAAATTCCGTCTCAAAAAAAAAGGCAGGGTTTCACCATATTGGTCAGGATGGTCTCGATCTTCTGACCTCAAGTGATCCGCCTGCCTCAGCCTCCCAAAGTGCTGGGATGACAGGCGTGAGCCCCCGCGCCCGGCCAGAGTGTAGCATTCATCGAGTCAGGCTGTCGTGCAGACCGTGGTTTTTTGGGGTGTCCACGCCCCTTTTCCCACCTGTCCACAGGGGCACCCGTGACCAGACCCTCCCCGAGCGCAGCCTGGGGTGGTGCCTCCCGCAGGGCCCTTCCCACTGCCCCCGCCTGTTCCCTGGTGGGCCTGGGTCTGCTGAGACCAAGGCAGTGCCCGTCTGCCCCCGTTCCCCGTCTCTGCGAGGGGTGAGGCCCCTCGGGGTCTGCACACCCAGGACATTGACGCACCCCCGCAGGTCATCCAGCGCATCTTCTACGCAGTGAACCGGTCCTGGTCCGGCAGGATCACCTGCGCTGAGCTGCGGAGGAGCTCATTCCTGCAGGTGCGGCGGCCCCTAACCCTTTCCTCCCCCTCCGCTTCTCCTCCACCCCCCCCCCGCTTCTCCTCCCCCATCCCCTTTTCTTCCTCCTCTCCCTCCCCCTCCTCTGTTCCTCCCCATGTCCCTCCCCCTCTCCCTTTCCACCCCTTCCCGCCCCCTTCCTTTCTCCCCCGTCCCCGTCCCCTCCCTCTTCTCACCACCCTCCTTCCCTTTCCTCCCTGTTTTCTCTCCCACCCCCTCCGTTCCCTTTCCCCATGTCCTGGGAGCCCTGGGCCTACAGCACCCCCACTCCCGCCTAGCAAGCTGTTTCCATGCTGCAGTTCCCCCAACCTGGAACTGCCCCCACTCGGAGCACCCCCGCCACAGCTGCCCGTCCCCAGCACCCACGGAGCGGCCCCGCCCTCCGCCCCAGCCTTCTCCCTGCCCGCAGCCACCTCGGAGCTCAGCCCCCGCCCCATGTCCTTTGGCAGAACGTAGCGCTGCTGGAGGAGGAGGCGGACATCAACCAGCTGACCGAGTTCTTCTCCTACGAGCACTTCTACGTCATCTACTGCAAGTTCTGGGAGCTGGACACGGACCACGACCTGCTCATCGACGCGCACGACCTGGCGCGGCACAATGACCACGGTGCGTGGGGCAGAGGGGCGGGCGGGGCGCGGGGACACGGAGCGCAATGACCACGGCGTGTGGGGCAGAGCAGCAGGGTGGGGTGCGGGGACAGCGAGCTTAATGACCACGGTGCGTGGGGCAGAGAGACGGGCGGGGCACGGGGACACGGAGGGCAATGACCACGTGCGTGGGGCAGAGGGCAGGCGGGGCGCGGGGACACGGAGCGCAATGACCACTGTGCATGGGGCAGAGGGATGGGCGGGGCACGGGGACACGGAGCGCAATGACCACGGCGTGTGGGGCAGAGTGGCGGGCGGGGCACGGGGACACGGAGCGCAATGACCACGGCGTGTGGGGCAGAGCAGCACGGTGGGGTGCGGGGACACCGAGCTCAATGACAACTGTGCATGGGGCAGAGAGACGGGCTGGGCGCGGGGACACCGAGCTCAATGACCACGGTGCGTGGGGCAGAGTGGCGGGCAGGGCGCGGGGACAGGGAGCACAATGACCACGGTGCGTGGGGCAGAGTGGCGTGCGGGGTGCGGGGACACGGAGCGCAATGACCACGGCGTGTGGGGCAGAGTGGCGGGCGGGGCACGGGGACACGGAGCGCAATGACCACGGCGTGTGGGGCACAGCAGCAGGGTGGGGTGCGGGGACACCGAGCTCAATGACCACGGTGCTTGGGGCAGAGAGACGGGCGGGGCGCGGGGACACGGAGGGCAATGACCACGTGCGTGGGGCAGAGGGGCGGGCAGGGCGCAGGGACACGGAGCGCAATGACCATGGTGCTTGGGGCAGAGAGACGGGCGGGGCGCGGGGACACGGAGGGCAATGACCACGTGCGTGGGGCAGATAGACGGGCGGGGCACGGGGACACGGCAATGACCACTGTGCGTGGGGCAGAGACACGGGCGGGGCATGGGGACACGGAGCGCAATGACCACTGTGCGTGGGGCAGAGAGAAGGGCGGGGCGCGGGGACACGGAGCGCAATGACCACGGCGTGTGGGGCAGAGCAGCAGGGTGGGGTGCGGGGACAGCGAGCTTAATGACCATGGTGCTTGGGGCAGAGAGACGGGCGGGGCACGGGGACACGGAGGGCAATGACCACGTGCGTGGGGCAGAGGGGCGGGCGGGGCGCGGGGACACAGAGCGCAATGACCACAGTGCGTGGGGCAGAGTGGCGTGCGGGGTGCGGGGACACGGAGTGCAATGACGCTGCGTGGAGCACACCGGCAGTTGGGGACACGGAGCTCAATGACCCCGGTGCGTGGGGCTGAGAGACGGGCGGGGTGCGGGGGTATCGAGCTCAATGAACACGGTGTGTGGGGCAGAGAGACGGGCGGGGCGCGCGGGCACTGAGCTCAATGACCCCCGTGCGTGGGGCAGAGTGGCGGACGGGGCGCGGGACACGGAGTGCAATGACCCCGGTGCGTGGGGCAGAGACGGGCGGGGTGCGGGGGTATCGAGCTCAATGACCACGGTGTGTGGGGCAGAGCGCCGGGCGGGGCGCGCGGGCACTGAGCTCAATGACCCCCGTGCGTGGGGCAGAGGGATGGGCGGGGTGCGGAGACGCCCAGCACAGTGCGCAGGGTCAGAGGCGCAGGCGGGCGAGGAAACAGCGAGCGCCTTCTCTCACGGGCCTCCCTGGTCTGCAGCTGCCTGTCCCCCCAGGCCACCCCTTGTGTCTGGGTCCCGGCTGCACCACACTTCTGGTGCGTAGCGGCTACAGGGTCAGTGTGCGCCGCTGGTCCCGAGGCTGTGACAGCCGTCCCTTTGCGACACCATCGTCGCGGGTCTTCATGGTTAGGACCTAACGCGAACCCGAACCCGAACCCTCACAGGCTCCAGGTTCCAGCCTCCAAGGCCTGGACCAGTTTCCATCCCATGTCCCACTGGGCAGCTCCTGAAAGTGGGGGGCCCCAGGCTTCGAGGTGGATCAGATTCAGCAGCGGGAGTCGGGACCTCCCAGCCGCCCTCCGAGCGGTCACCGCCTCACCCGTCCTCAGAGACCCAGGGAGACTTGCAGGAGCGGAAACCTACATGTTCCCGTGTGGCTTTCATTTTCTAAAGGATTTCTTTAGTCTCCCCCCCCCCAAAGAAAACCTTATTACCAAGAAGAGGATTTCCGAGCTCGCTGGCAGTTTTGCGTGGCCCCCCGAGGGTGAGCCCCGCCCTGGGCCACGTCGTGGTGGACCCCACCCTGCCTGCGTGGGATGCGCACCTGGGCAGACGCAGCATTTCCTGGCTGTGTTTGTCACTCAGTTCACGGAGACGCCTGAGCTCCGTACCTAGCTGGGAAAAGAGCGCAGCCCCGTGTGGCCCGTGCCAACGCTTGCACCCCTGGGAATCAGCCCAGAACCCAGCGCTCGTGCCCCTGTGAACGCGCGCCGGCCGCAGGTCTCTGTTCCTGTGGGGCCCACCCTGGGTCTTGGGGTGGCGGGTGCGGCCGGCTGGGCTGTTTCTCACGTGGCGCGGCCTGAAGCTGGGGCATCTTGGCCCCGTGCGTCCCGGGGACCGTGGTGACCGCGGGGACGGCCGGCTTGGGACACTGGCGGCCGCAGCGCGTTCACTGTTGCCTTTTGTGAGTGAAATTCGGCGGAACGCGTTTCTTGTGATGGAACTAACTGTGCCTCTGGAAGCAGAAGGGTTGAGGCTCCGCTCTTTGAACCGCAGGCAGCTTCGCTCACCGGGGATTTGATGCTGGGCCTCGCCCCGCTTCACGGGAAGGTGCGGTGGGCACCCGGGAGGAGCCTGCAGGGGTGTAGGGGCCCCAGGCCCCCCCCAGCTCAGGCCGCCTCCCGGCATTGGGTCCCAGGTGCGGCTCTGGGGGTCGTGGCATCAGGACCGAGGCCCGCTGCGGGCTGCCCATCAACCCCGATTCCTTTGCAGCCATTTCTACCAAGATGATCGACAGGATCTTCTCGGGAGCGGTCACGCGGTACGTAGGACTCAGGCGCCTGACGGCCAGTGCCACGTGAGAGCTCGGGTCCCATTGCCCTCTCGTGGGACGGGGGGGGGGGTGGCACAAGAACCTGTGTCACGTGAGGTCCGAGAAAGGGGATGGCCCAGGCCAGGGGTTTTTGTCGGGCGCCATGAGCCCCTAGAAGGGGTCGCTGAGGGCACCCGGGGCCGTGGAAGTGATGGGGGAGCTCCCGACCCCACCTGCACTTGGGGGAAGCCTGGACCTGGGGGAAGCCGTCTGGCTGTGTGGCCTTCTCTCCTCCCTGGAGGAGCCGGAGGAGGGCTGGGCCTTGGGGGTCCTCTCCCCGGGGCCGTGGGCAGGGGCTCCCTGCCTGTGCTGCCCTCCCTGACTCCATCCTGGCCTCCAATCTAAGAGGCAGAAGAGTGCAGAAGGAAGGCAAGATCAGCTACGCCGACTTCGTGTGGTTTCTCATCTCTGAAGAAGACAAGAAGACGCCCACCAGGTGGGTCCTGCCCCAGCTGCTTTCCTTCTGCTGGAGGCGCTGGGAGCCTCGCCTGTGATGGGTCCCGGGTGGATGTGTGCACGCCTGCTGGGGGGCCCGGGGCTGCAGGGGGCGGGCAGAGGGTCGGGGTTGGGGCTGCAGGGGGCGGGCAGAGGGTCGGGGTTGGGGCTGCCAGGTGGGTTCCTGCCCCAGCTGCTTTCCTTCTGCTGGTGGAGCTCAGAGACTCGCCTGTGAAATGGGTCCCGGGTGGATGTGTGCACGCCTGCTGGGGCGCCCGGGGCTGCAGGGGGCGGGCAGAGGGTCGGGGTTGGGGCTGCAGGGGGCGGGCAGAGGGTCGGGGTTGGGGCTGCCAGGTGGGTTCCTGCCCCAGCTGCTTTCCTTCTGCTGGTGGAGCTCAGAGACTCGCCTGTGACATGGGTCCCGGGTGGATGTGTGCACGCCTGCTGGGGCGCCCGGGGCTGCAGAGGGCAGGCGGAGACGGCCAGTGCATGGGGCTGCAGGGGGCGGGTTGGGAGGGTCCGGGCCCAGGGGCTGCAGGGGGTGGGCCGGGAGGGCCCGTTGGGGCAGGGGCTGCAGAGGCGGGCTGGGGGGCTTAGGGCCGCAGAGCGTGGGCTGAGAGGTCCCATGGGTGTTGCTGCAGGGGGCCGGCTGCGTGGGCCTGTGGGTGGGGCTGCAGGGGTGGACTGGGAGGGCCCGGGGCAGGGGTGGGGGAAGCTCACAGAGCTCTCCGGCCGCAGCATCGAGTACTGGTTCCGGTGCATGGACCTGGACGGGGATGGCGCCTTGTCCATGTTCGAGCTGGAGTATTTCTACGAGGAGCAGTGCCGGAGGCTGGACAGCATGGCCATCGAGTCCCTGCCCTTCCAGGACTGCCTCTGCCAGATGCTGGACCTCGTCAAGCCGAGGACCGAAGGTGACGCCTCGGGAGGGCACAGGCCAGGGTGAGGGGGGTGTGGCCCAGGGTGAGTGGGGGGACGGGTGAGGGGGGGACGGCCCAGGGTGAGTGGGATGGGTGAGGGGGGATGGCCCAGAGTGAGAGGGGGATGAGTGAGGAGGGGGACCGCCCAGGGTGAGGTGGGACAGGTGAGAGGGGGTGGGTCAAGGTCAGGGTGGGACAGGTGACAGGTGAATGGCCCAGGGTGAGAGGGGGATGAGTGAGGAGGTGGGAGGCCCAGGGTGAAGTGGGACGGGTGAGAGGGGGTGGCTCAAGGTCAGGGTGGGACAGGTGACAGGTGAATGGCCCAGGGTGAGAGGGTGGATGAGGGGGGTGCGGCCCAGGGTGTTCGTGGACGGCCCAGTGTGAGTGGGATGGGTGAGGCAGGGATGGCCCAGGGTGAGGTGGGGATGAGTGAGGAGGGGGACGGCCCAGGGTGAGGTGGGACGGGTGAGAGGGGGTGCCCCAAGGTCAGGGTGGGACAGGTGAGAGGTGGATGGCCCAGGGTGAGGGAATGTCCCTGCTGCGAGGGGACACTGCCAAACGGCCCCGCCCACTGTGAGATTGTGGGGAGGGTCAGCAGCACCGCAGGCCCCCGGTGTCACGGTGCGAGGACGTCGTGCTCAGGACGTGGGCACCCCCAGTGACCTGCGGAACCCAGGGCCGGGGCGCACGGGGGCACGGGCACCAGGCTGAGGGACCGGTAGCCACGTTTCTGCTGATGCCGCACAGGGAAGCCTCCCTCCACCCCTCTGCTCCGCTCACCACTGTACCCCCACCTGTTGCCCCAACTCCTCCTGCACCCCCCACCCAGTGCCGTCCAAGGCAAAGCGGAGCGCGCACCCCGCCGCGTGGCTCTGCTCTGCGTCTCGGGATCCAGCACTGGGTTTTCACGTTGGGAATGGCTCTGAGGCTCTGAAACCGCACCCCCCCCCCGCCCTCGGACCCTCCCTGCGGTCCCTCCCCGTGGCCCCACTGCCCCTCTTCCGTCGCCACGGCACCGCGCCACTGTCCTTCCTCTCCCGGTCACCACTGTCCCGCGCCTCCCTGTCGACCCGCCCTTCCCGCAGCCCCTGCCTCCGGCCCCGCCCCTCCCTGCAGCCCCTCCCCCTGCCCCGCCCCTCCCTGCAGCCTCTCCTTCTGGCCCCGCCCCTCCTTGCAGGCCCTCCCTCCGGCCCCGCCCCTCCCTCCAGCCCCGCCCCTCCCTGCAGCCCCTCCCTCCGGCCCCGCCCCTCCCTCCAGCCCCGCCCCTCCCTCCGGCCCCGCCCCTCCCTGCAGCCTCTCCCTCCGGCCCCGCCCCTCCCTGCAGCCTCTCCCTCCGGCCCCGCTTCTCCCTGCAGCCCCTCCCTCCAGCCCCGCCCCTCCCTGCAGCCCCTCCCTCCGGCCCCGCCCCTCCCTCCAGCCCCGCCCCTCCCTCCGGCCCCGCCCCTCCCTGCAGCCCCTCCCTCCAGCCCCGCCCCCCCCTGCAGCCTCTCCCTCCGGCCCCGCCCCTCCCTCCAGCCCCCGCCCCTCCCTCCAGCCCCTCCCTCCGGCCCCGCCCCTCCCTGCAGCCTCTCCCTCCGGCCCCGCCCCTCCCTGCAGCCCCTCCCTCCAGCCCCGCCCCTCCCTGCAGCCTCTCCCTCCGGCCCCGCCCCTCCCTCCAGCCCCGCCCCTCCCTGCAGCCCCTCCCTCCGGCCCCGCCCCTCCCTGCAGCCCCTCCCTCCGGCCCCGCCCCTCCCTGCAGCCCCTCCCCCGGCGCCACCCCTCCCTGCAGCCCCTCCCTGGCCGTGGGACTCCACGTGCTCAGCATCCCCGGACGGTCTCTGGCGCTGCCTGCACGTGGAGCTCCGGTCTCTGTAATTTCACATCCAGGGGTCCGCGCTGGTCGCGCCTCCCTGTCTGTCCCACGTCCCAGCCCGCGCATCCTTCGGGCGCAGGTGACCCCGAGCGTCGTCCTTCCACGCCCTGGTCCCGCCCAGAGCCGTCCTGGAGCACGCGATGCCGGCCACACAGCTCAGGCGCGCACCCCGCAGGTGAGGCCGGGCTCACGCCCCGGACACGCTCCCTCCCTGCAGGGCGGATCACGCTGCAGGACCTGAAGCGCTGCAAGCTCGCCAACGTCTTCTTCGACACGTTCTTCAACATCGAGAAGTACCTCGACCACGAGCAGAAGGAGCAGCTGTCCCTGCTCAGGGTGAGCGGGGGTCGCGGGGTAACGGCCGGGGCCGGGGGCGGGGCGGGGAGGACGGCCCGGGGAGAGGGGGCGGACGGGGGTGGGGATGGGGCGGGGACGGCCCGGGGAGAGGGGGGAACGGGGTTGGGGGTGGGTGGGGACGGCCCGGGGAGAGGGGGGAACGGGGTGGGAGTGGGGAGGGGACGGCCCGGGGAGAGGGGACGGGGGTGGGGATGTGGCGGGGACGGCCCGGGGAGAGGGGGGGAACGGGGTGGGGGTGGGGTGGGGACGGCCCGGGGAGAGGGGGGGAACGGGGTGGGGGCGGGGCGGGGGACGGTCCCAGGAGACGAGATGGATGGCGTAGGGTGGGAGGACGGCGCGGCCCGCAGAGACCGGGGGGGGGGGGGGGGGGGGACGAGGTGGGAAGGAGGGACCGGGGGTTTGGGGGGAGGACGCCTTGGGAGAGGGTCTGAGCGACGAGACCGCCGTGAGTCAGCGCTGCTGCGGTGACGGACAGCTAGGAAAGGGCTCCCCCACTCTGACTGTGACTCGGGCCAGCACCGCAGGCCCCCCACCCCCACCCCCGTGTCACAGCGCGAGAACTTCGTGCTCAGGACGTGGGCAGGCAGCCTGCGCTGCGCCCCGCTGTGTCCCTGACATGCGCGCTTCCTCCAGGACAGTGACAGCGGCGGCCCCGAACTCTCGGACTGGGAGAAGTACGCGGCCGAGGAGTATGACATCCTGGTGGCCGAGGAGGCTGCGGGAGAGCCCTGGGAGGACGGGTGAGTGCCTGCCGGGGATGGGGGGCAGGGACGGGGGACACGGGCAGGCCATGAGGACGGGACACGAGGGCAGTGAGTGGGGACGTGGGGTGCAGTGAGGGGGGACACGTGGGCAGTGAGAAGAGGTGGGGGGAATGCGACACGTGGACAGTGATGGCGACACGGGGGCAGTGTGGGGGGACAGGTACTCGGGGGCAGTGAGGAGGGGACATGGGACGCAGAAGCAGTGACGAGGAGTGGGGGGGAACGCGACGCGGGGACAGTTCGGCGGGGACGGCCGTGTGGGGTTCTGTGATCCTGGAGAACAGGGAGGCTGAGTGAACACGGGTTCCCTGTGCGCGTGTGTTCTCAGCTCACGGCTGTCGCCTGCGGGGTCGGTGGCTGCCGGCCTCCCTGGGGCCTGAGTCCATTCCAGGGCCCCTGTCCCCTTGTCCCCGGGTTGAAGGCTTCCTCGGGACCTCAGGATCCAGACCCTTTATCTGTGACACGTTTGCGTTTTCCGCAGTTTCTGACGTTTTCACCCTGTTCACGGGCGTCTGCGCGGTGCTGTGAATTCGGAGGGACAGGCGCTGACTAGTGTGACTTTACAGCTGCGTTTTTGGTGTGTGGTCTGAGGACTCATTCCCGAAGCCAAACCCCCAGATTTCCCCTCCACGTTTTCCCGTGTTCACTGGGGTCTAGGGTCCACCTGCATAACCGTTCCCGTGGGCTGTGACGGTCGGATGGAGGCTCCCCTTGTCGTCTGGGTGTCCAGCTGTCCCAGCACCGCCTTAGCAAAGCCACGGGGTCACCTGGGCGTGGTGACAGCAGGTGCGCCGGGTGCCACGCGTTCCTGAACCTGCCTGTGTTCCGCGGCTGCAGGCGTCTGTCCGTTCCCTGCAGGGAGAAGCCTGCGACTCCGGTGGCACGTGGGAGTGTCGGGCCGTTTTTGATTTTTAGACTCAGCCCGTCGTCTCCGTGGAAATGCGTGTTGGACTCTGGCGTGGGGGGCAGCGCTGGCCCCTGACCACACTCTGTACCTCACCAGCCTCAGGGGCACACGCTGCAGCGATGAGGCCCCTGTCGCCATCCTGTGCTGAGCTGCTCAGTGCTCTTGTTCCCCACCGTCCTGGCTATTCGGCTTTGCCTTTGTATGAAAATAAGCTGCTTCCACAAAAAGTTCTGCTGAGCCCGGGCGCCGTGGTCACGCCTGCAATCCCAGCACTTTGGGAGGCCGAGGTGCATGGATCGCTTGAGGTCAGGAGTTTGAGACCAGCCTGGCCAACTCGGTGAGACCCCATCTCTACTGAACATTTTATTAAAACGTGCCGGTAACACCGTTTGCACCCGGGAGGCGGAGGTTGCAGTGAGCCAAGTTTGTGCCACCGCACTCCAGCCTCGGTGACAGAGCGAGACTCCGTCTCAAAAAAAAAAAAAAATCCGAACTTTGAGCGAGATCTTGCTGAGTGAACGGACCCGTGGGCCCGGCTGCCTGTCCATAGCCCTGCGTGGCCCCGTCCACGGGCACCGTCCGTCACCTGTCTCATTTCTCCCGGCGGGACTGTCTAGCTTTCCCGCTACACTTTACGTGGACGTTGTGACACGTCTACACGGGTGTTAGTGGCTTTTCTGGTGTTGTAAACGGTCCTTCTGCGGTTCCCGTCTCCAGTTACGTGTCGGCAGCATCTAGAAATACGTTCATCGACCTTGTGCTCTGCACCTCCAGGAAATAAACTTACCAGGTTCCGTCCCGTTTCCCGCTTGCTTTTCACCGCGCTCTGCACGTCCTTTTTTTTTTTTCTTTCTTTCTTTTTAGAGAGAGTCTCGCTCTGGCGCCAGGCTGGAGCGCAATGGCGTGATCTCCGCTCACTGCGACCTCCGCCTCCCGGGTTCAAGCGATTCTCGGGCCTCAGCCTCCCAACTAGCTGGGACTACAGGCGCCCCCCACCACGCCCGGCTAATTTCTGTATTTTTATTAGAGACGGGGGTTTCACCATGTTGGCCAGGCCGGTCTCGAGCTCCTGACCTCAGGTGATCCTCCCACCTCGACGTCCCAAAGTGGGGGGCCACCTGTCATCTTCCTCTTGCCTACTGCGTGGCCTGGAACCTACAGTGTGATTTGGGGGGCTGGGGGGTGAGTCAGGGTCTTGCTCTGTCACCAGGGCTGGAGTGCAGCGGTGGGATCTCACCTCACCTCCACCTCCCGGGCTCAGGTGATGCTCTCGTCCCGGCCTCCCGAGCACCTGGGACTGCAGGACTGTGTCTCCACACCCAGCTAGTTGTTTTAAGAGAGTCTTGCTGTGTTGCCCAGGCTGGCCTCAAACTCCTGGGCTCAAGGGATCCTCACTCCTCGGCCTCCCAAAGTGCTCGGGTGGCAAGTATGAGCCGCCGCGCCCGGCCGGCTGCTGTTTTTGCAATATCTGGGTCTGGCTTTGGTGTTGGGGTAATGCTGGCTCAGGGAATGGGGAGCAGTATGGTCTCCCCGTGTTCTCTGGAAGAGTGCGTAGCGCCGACCTGTTACTTCTCCCTCGATGTCTGGTAGAATTCACCAGTGACCCCGTGTGGGCCTCGGTTTCTCATTAAGTGCTCGATGGTGGCACCACGGAAGTTTCGGGTGTGTCGATGCCTGCGCCTCAACGTACAAACCCGTTACTAACGTCAGGGCAACATGTGCTCCCGTCTGTTCCCCCCAGAACTGTCGTTACCGGAATTTTCATGAATTTCCTGGACCTGTTTGGTGGAATTGGCCAGGGAAGCCGTTGGGAACGGCAGCTTTGTGAGAGGCTTTTAACTAAAAATCGAATTCAGCCGGTGCGGTGGCTCACGCCTCTAAATCCCAACACTGGGAGGCCGAGGCGGGCCGATCACGTGAGGTCGGGAGTTCAAAACCAGCCTGGGCAACATGGTGAAACCCCGTGTCTACTACAAGGACACAAAGTGAGCCGGGCGTGGTGGCACAGATGCCTGTGATCCCGGCGACTGGGAGGCGGACGCAGGAAAACTGCTTGAACCTGGGAGCTGTTGGCTGCTGTGAGCTGAGGTTGCACCATTGCACTCCAGCCTGGGAAATAAGAGCGAAACTCCATGTCTCAAAAAAGCAAAAGTGACGGTTATCAGAAGCTGGCTCAGGCCATGTCCGTGAGGTTTTGTTTTCTGGGGGGTCGCTGCGATGACAGGCCAGCGCCCCCACGCCCGGTAACTTTTGTGGAGATGGGGTTTAGGCTGGTCTTGAACACGTGAGCTCAAGGGTTCTGCCCGCCTCAGGCCCCAGAGTGTTGGGAAGAGCGGCCTGAGCCCCCGCACCCGCCCTAGAGGGAGCTTGGCCGGTTCCCGTGCTCCAGACCCTTGTGTGTTCACCCAAGTGATTTCGTCATCATCGGCGACGTTTCCTGCTTGTGGGTTTCACATCCGCAGCATCCACAGCGCTGGCGTGTCCCGCGGGCGCGATGCCCATTTCTGTTTCTCTGCATGAACAGTGGGGGTAAGGACGGTCGATTCGTCTTGTCACGGAACCACGAGTGCCACCGATTTTCTGTCTTGTCACGGAACCACGAGTGCCACCGATTTTCTGTCTTGTCACGGAACCACGAGTGCCACCGATTTTCTGTCTTGTCACGGAACCACGAGTGCCACCGATTTTCTGTCTTGTCACGGAACCACGAGTGCCACCGATTTTCTGTCTTGTCACGGAACCACGAGTGCCACCGATTTTCTGTCTTGTCACGGAACCACGAGTGCCACTGATTTTCTGTTGCCTTTGTTCTGGTTTTCCTTCTGTTCTCCAGGTGCCTTCACGCGGCAGCCTGGGCCGCTGACCGAAGCCCTTTCCTCTCTTCTCAGTGGGCCCTGGGAGCGCGGCCGAGTCAGGCGTTGTCACTTACCGGCAGCTCAAAACACTCTATAGTTCCCGACCCACGGGCTCCACGGAGCTGCGTTCTAACCCTTGCGCCTCCCCAGACGCCCCTCCCATTCCTGCCGAGCTCCTGGGGCTCCCGCTGCGCCCCCCACACCCCCCGCCATCCGTGTGTCCCTGCTCCCCCTCCCCTTCCCCATTTTCATGCTCTCCGTCCTCCCATTCTGCTCCCCGTTTTCATGCTCCCCCCTCCCATTCTCCCACCCATTTTCATGCTCCCCCCTCCCATTGTCCTCCCCATTTTCATGCTCCCCCCTCCCATTCTCCTCTCCATTTTCATGCTCCCCGCTCCCATTTTGCTCCCCATTTTCATGGTCACCCTCCTCCGCCCATTCTCCTCCCCATTTTCATGCTCCCCCCTCCCATTCCCCTCCCCATTTTCCTGCTCCCCCTCCTCCCATTCTCCTGCTCCCCATTTTCATGCTCCCCCCTCCCATTCTCCTCCCCATTTTCATGCTCCCCACTCCCATTCTCCTGCTTCCCATTTTCGTGCTGCCCCTCCTCCCCCCATTCTCCCCATTCTCCTGCCCCCCATTTTCGTGCTGCCCCTCCTCCCCCCATTCTCCGCCTCCGTCCCCCTGCTCCCCACCTGACCAGTATCCACCGCCATCGCCGCCCAGCCCAGGTCTGCGGCACAGCCGGCCCCACGCTCAGGTAGCCACGTGCCACCTTCCGTGTCCGCTCCCGCGCTGGTTGGCCGCACTCTCGTCCATGGCCGGGAGTGACCGGGACCGTGGGGATCTCAGCGCCAGGCTTCCGGGGGGCATGTTGCAGAGCAGACGTGTCCACACCGGACCTCCGAGGGTCTGTGCGGCCGGTGGCCACGCCGGTGTCCCGGGGCACTGTCCTCTGTCACTGCGGATGGCTCACCGCGCGCGCATGTGCAGGCCTCGTGCTGCTGTGCGTTCTGGTCCCCGGGAGCCCGTGCGTGTGTTGGGACAATCCTAAGCCACGCGTGGCCGCGCCGTTTTTGAAACCGTGTCACATCCCGGGTTTTGTTCTGCCTTCCCGCGTGGACCCCGCAGAAACCTGTAAGCGCGTCCACGCAGGTCAGCGCTGCTCTGAGTCCCCGTCACGTGGCTTCGAGAAACGCGCGCCCCCGGATTCCTGCCCTGGGAAAGCCGCTGCGGGGACCTGGCGCCGGGGGTGTGACCGTCCTGTGACCACAGCCCCCTCCCCAGGGACCACTGGTGCAGGTGGCACCGCCGGCCGGGAGCGCACAGCTGGGTCGGCACCTGCAGCTCCAGGGCCCGCGGCGCCGCCAGACACGCCTTTGCCATCCCCTCGTTGCAGGTTCGAGGCCGAGCTCAGCCCTGTGGAGCAGAAGCTGAGTGCGCTGCGGTCGCCGCTGGCCCAGAGGCCCTTCTTCGAGGCGCCCTCGCCCCTGGGCGCCGTGGACCTGTACGAGTTCGCGTGCGGGGACGAGGACCTGCAGCCGCTGTAAAAACGTCCGCGTTGTGTTTTGTGGAAAACGAGTGCGTTTGTACCGAATGATAAATTTTTATTTATTCACACAGGCGCGGTGATTGCTGGCGCTGGGGGGGGTCTGGCTGCACCTGCCTGTGTGGGATGGGCCGCCCTGGGGGACACGAGGAGGAGACCCCGGGTGGCTACACCTGCCTGGGTGGGATGGGCCGGCCTGGGGGACACGAGGAGGAGACCCCGGGTGGCTACACCTGCCTGGGTGGGATGGGCCGGCCTGGGGGACACGAGGAGGAGACCCCGTGTGGCTGCACCTGCCTGGCTGGGATGGGCCGGCCTGGGGGACACGAGGAGAGGACACCCCGTGTGGCTGCACCTGCCTGGGTGCGATGGGCCGGCCTGGGGGACACGAGGAGAGGACACCCCGTGTGGCTGCACCTGCCTGGGTGGGATGGGCCGGCCTGGGGGACACGAGGAGAGGACACCCCGTGTGGCTGCACCTGCCTGGGTGGGATGGGCCGGCCTGGGGGACACGAGGAGGAGACCCCGTGTGGCTGCACCTGCCTGGGTGCGATGGGCCGGCCTGGGGGACACGAGGAGGAGACCCCGGGTGGCTACACCTGCCTGGGTGGGATGGGCCGGCCTGGGGGACACGAGGAGGAGACCCCGTGTGGCTGCACCTGCCTGGGTGCGATGGGCCGGCCTGGGGGACACGAGGAGGAGACCCCGTGTGGCTGCACCTGCCTGGGTGCGATGGCCCGGCCTGGGGGACACGAGGAGGAGACCCCGTGTGGCTGCACCTGCCTGGCTGGGATGGGCCGGCCTGGGGGACACGAGGAGGAGACCCCGTGTGGCTGCACCTGCCTGGCTGGGATGGGCCGGCCTGGGGGACACGAGGAGGAGACCCCGTGTGGGTTCCAGGCTGAGATGGCAGAGGCCTCCCTGGGGCCCTGGAAGGGAACACAGCGGCCTCCCCACCCAGTGTCCCTGCTGAAACCCCTGCACGTCCCCCGAGTGCCCGCTGCAGTCCCTGCTCCCCGCGCTCCACAAGCACCCCCCGCCTCCCACCTCCCCAGTGGGTGACCCACGCCCTGAGCCGGATCTCTGCCTGCTGTGCACACACACACACCTGTGCTGGAGTCCACGTGTGGGGGGAAGGAGGAGGGATGAGGAGGAGGCGGCATGGTGGGGAGGAGGGATGTGGAGGCGGAGGAGGAGGATGAGGATGGGAGCAGGAGAGGGAGGAGGAGGATGGGAGGATGGGGCAGGAGGAGGAGGATGGGAGCAGGAGAGGGAGGAGGAGGCTGGGGGAGGAGGATGAGGGAGGAGGAGGCTGGGGGAGGAGGAGGATGGGGGGAGGAGGAGGAGGCTGGGGGAGGAGGAGGAGGATGGGAGCAGGAGAGGGAGGAGGAGGC